GGGGGTTATGGCATAGGCACAATGGGAAGAAATAAATAATTAAACAAAAACACATTTATTAACTCAAGACAAGACATCACAGAACGAATTTCAAACAATATATTTACACAAACATTCAAAACCCCCGATTCAAGACCATAATCCACAGGCACCTGTTTCTATCAATACAGTCCTACACACAAACAGGAGAAATTGCTCACCACGAGCAACGTTTGATCTGTAATAGTGTCATTAACAACTAATCATGTACAAGTCTATGACCACCACATGCTGCTAGTCCACAGTTTTAAACACCAAGAATCATATTACATTTTATTACTTTTACAGACACAGGTCATAGCATTGTTAAAACTTAAATACTCAAGATTTTAGTAACAACGAAAATATATTCCCACCAGCTTTTAAATTTATCCACGAAGATTTCTTTCTTTCTTTCAAAGATTCACTAACTATATGAAACCTCAAAACATATTCAGATTGAATAACTATTCACTAACTATATGAAACCAAAAAACCATATTCAGATTGAATATTGATTCACTAACTATATGAAATCACAAAACATATTCAGATTGAATAACGATTCAGTAACTATATGAAACCACAAAACATATCTAGATTGAATATTGATTCACTAACTATATGAAACCACAAAACATATTCAGATTGAATAACGATTCAGTAACTATATGAAACCACAAAACATATTCAGATTGAATAACGATTCAGTAACTATATGAAACCACAAAACATATTCAGATAGAATAAAGATTCACTAACTATATGAAACCACAAAACATATTCAGATTGAATAACAATTCAGTAACTATATGAAACCACAAAACATATTCAGATTGAATAACGATTCAGTAACTATATGAAATCACAAAACATATTCAGATTGAATAAAGATTCAGTAACTATATGAAACCACAAAACATATTCAGATTGAATATTGATTCACTAACTATATGAAATCACAAAACATATTCAGATTGAATAACGATTCAGTAACTATATGAAACCACAAAACATATTCAGATTGAATAACGATTCAGTAACTATATGAAACCACAAAACATATTCAGATTGAATAACGATTCAGTAACTATATGAAACCACAAAACATATTCAGATTAGATAACGATTCAGTAACTATATGAAACCACAAAACATATTCAGATTGAATAACGATTCAGTAACTATATAAAACCACAAAACATATTCAGATTGAATAACGATTCAGTAACTATATGAAACCACAAAACATATTCAGATTGAATAACTATTCACTAACTATATGAAACCACAAAACATATTCAGATTGAATAACGATTCACTAACTATATGAAACCACAAAACATATTCAGATTGAATAACAATTCAGTAACTATATGAAACCACAAAACATATTCAGATTGAATAACGATTCAGTAACTATATGAAACCAAAAAACCATATTCAGATTGAATATTGATTCACTAACTATATGACACCAAAAAACCATATTCAGATTGAATATTGATTCACTAACTATATGAAATCACAAAACATATTCAGATTGAATAACAATTCAGTAACTATATGAAACCACAAAACATATTCAGATTGAATATTGATTCACTAACTATATGAAACCACAAAACATATTCAGATTAGATAACGATTCACTAACCAATGAATAATGAATCAATTCAAGAACTATATTGGAGAGCAAACCATATTCAGTTTGAATATGAATCAATTTAATAACTACATTCAGTTTGAGTGACATAAATATAGATCTTTACAATAACCAAGGAGTTTTGCAAAAAATGAATTCGGATGGCATGATCATAATATTTAGTTCTTTCCACAGAGCCGAATTTCTAATTCTTGCAACAGTTTCAAACTCTCTTCCCTTCTTAAAATGTTGAACTTGACCAAATTCTTAAATTAGGGTATTTCTTTTCATGACAGTAAAAGTATCAAGTTCTGTTTCCTCCCTGTATGGAATGTTTACTTTTCAATTTAAATGATGACAGTGAACTAATTATCATGTTATTATTAAACAATCAAACTCACTGACCATATCACCCTAAACTCTACCCTGCCTGTTTGTGTGTAGGACTGAATAGTCGACCGTCTCTATAATAGTAGTATAATGTTGACAATATACAGAGTTCTGTATTGAGTGAAAGAAGATTATTAGGAATTGCAATGAACAACCTTTTGCCAGCACCAGGGAACAGTACTAAACCATATATATCAAGTGAAGCTATTTTATCAGAAAAACATGCCATTAGTTTTGGCGGTCTGTATAAAATAATCTTTTTATCCAGCTACCACATACACAATCCTCCATACATAATTCATCAAGCTCTGCATCAAGTAGTTCACCAACATCACAGAGTACAGGCACAGTGATAGTGCACCACCATATATACACGTTACAGAAATCAATCAAAACTCAAGCCAATCTGAATCTAGTAATGTCTCTGGCAACCAGAGTGAATCAGCATTACTCAGTGCGAAGAGGGTAAGAGTGCTTTGCAGCTAGCTCAAGAAATGTCAAAATTAAACAATGCATGCAGTTCTTCTAATAAACAAACCAGTCCTTACGTTTTTTTTACCAACCTCAAATAATTTCCAGGATCCACAGTTACTATAGATACCACAACATCAAAATCCAAACAGTGCAGAATCTCGCATTTAGTCTAGTTTACAGATTTCACGGTAGTACTAGCAAGGTAATATGCACCCACTGACAGCTTTGATTTAAATAAAAATATTTGGCAGTGCAGTAACAATTACCAGTATGAAATACTAAAAATAGCTAAAAATTCAACGCGAATTCAATAACGAGGGCAATAACTCAAACTAAATATTTTTCGATTCTTCTGATTTTCAATAGGGTTCATCCTTGAGTGATTATGAACACTCATACCAAGTTTTGCCAAAATCCGTCAAGAATCGTGTCTTGTAGAGTGTTTACGAGCAATTGTTGACGGACGGGCGGACATGGGTGACGGCAATATACGCCCCCCATTTCATGCGGGCGTATAAAAATCTATCAAGAATTGAACCTTCTAGAGTGTTTACAGACCTTGGACTCGTTTTTAAGAACAAGGGCAATAACTCAAGCTAAATATTTTTAGATAGGTTCCTTGGGTAATTACATATACTAACACCGAGCTTTGTCAAAATCTGTCAAGAATTGTGTCTACTAACTAGTGTGTTTATGTGCTAAAAATTGAACGCGTTTTGAAGAACAAGGCCAATAACTAATACTAAATATTTTTCGATTTTTCTGATTTTCAATAAGGTTTATCCTTTGGTGTTAACAAACACTCATGTCAGGTTTCGTCAAATCCGTCAAGAATTGTGTCTTCTAGAGTGTTTACGAGCTACAAATTGAAAGTGTTTTCAAGAACAAGGGCAACAACTAAATATTTTTCGATTCTTCTGATTTTCAATATAGTTCATCCTTTTGTGATTACGAACGCTCACGCCAAGTTTCGTCAAAATCTATCAATAACTGTGCCTTCTTGAATATTTACGGGTTAAAGCTTGAACGCGTTTTCAAGGGCAAAAACTCATACTTATTTTTCGATTTTTCTGATTATCAATAGGGTCTACCCTTGTGTGATTTTACCAAATGCCAGGCAAGGTAACATGCGCTCACTATACCAGCTGTCAGAAATGATAACAAAATCTTTAGTGGCTTAATAATGAATTTTCAAATAATCTTAAAGTCAAGAAAAAAACCTGAAACAGTTCATCAAATCATCATCAGATTCAAACATGAACAATGTCTCATCGCTGTACACACAAGGGTATTAACTCGCAAACTGTTCATCCGATTATTACCAATTTCTAACTTGACCGAGATCTCATCATGCATATCTAGTTTCATCAAGATTGGATAAAATCTGTACTCTCTATCGTGCCTGCAAGACGAGTTTGACAAGTTTTTACTGAGTCAAGGGCAATAACTCAGAAACCCTTCATCCGTTACCAATTACGAACTCGAGTGAATTCTTAATAATATATACATGCATACCTATATTTCATCTAGGTTGGATAAAAGCTGTAGTCGCTATCGTGCATATCTAGTTTCATCAAGATTAGATAAAAACTATAGTCTCTATCGTGCCTGCAAGTCGAATTTGACATGTTTTTACTAAATCAAGGGCAATAACTCAGAAACCCTTCATCCGATTGTTACCAATTACAAACTCTAGTGAGATCTCATCAATATACACATGCTTGCATACCTAGTAGTATATAATCGAAATTTGATTCGTCAAGGGTAATAACTCTGAAACCAATCATCCAATTGTTACCAATGTCGAAATTGACCGAGATCCCATCAATATATAGACGCATATTAAGTTTCATCAAGATCGGATAAAAATTGTAGTCTTTATCGTGCCTACAAAGCAAATTTGGCGAGTTTTTACTAAACCAAGGGCAATAAATCTGAAACAGTTAATCCGATTATTACCCATTTCGAACTTGACAGAGATCTCATCAATACATACCAAATTTCATCAAGATCGGATAAAAACTGAACACGTTTTCAAGAACATGGGCAATAACTCATAGTCAATATTATTCAGTATCGCCCTAAAGAGTTCAGAACAAGGGTATGACTGAAGGTTCAATATTATATACTGATGGTTGTTACTGTACTAAATATTTTTATTCAAAATCAAAGCTGCCAGCTGCCTTGCCTGGCAATCTATCTTATAGCCATTCAACATACCATTCTTAATCAGTCATTTTTATACCCCCAAATGAAACGTATATGAGTCACCCATTGGGCATGTATTAGCTATCTTTCAAATACCACTATAGCTTATTCAGAATGATTTAAAAGGGATAAAGTCACCTAAATATTTGAGAGCCAGAAATAGGATTTAAATATTACTACTCTTAGCTCTGATAGAGCTGCTCAAATATATATTAGACAACCATATCCCTTTAATGTCCTGAGTCAAAACTACTTAAAACTAAAACTATGTAACTTTATTGATTTTCATTGGCATTTTGATATGGACTTCTGTACCTTCAACATATATATTGTCAAAATGCCACTTTCTATTGCAGCGACATTCAGTGGCACATTTTTCAGAAGCACATTTTGAACATGGAAAATGACATCCAGGACAGTCAATATCTAAACAATCACAAATATCTACTCCACTTTCACGTATACACCCTGTCTCATCATATAATGTATTACTTGGCTTTGTAATAGGACTGAAATATGAAATAAGCATACTTGAGTAATATTATTAGAATGTTAACCCTCTCCAGTTGGTAGGCAGCCTCAGAATGGTCAAGAGATAGATGTAATCAAACTTATAAGATATGTACAGTGTTTGAAACACTTGAAGCAAAAAACAATATTTAAGTGTCAATCCAGTGTTATTTTACATCTTTTACTTCCGATAAAAACTACCAAACAACCAGTATCTGCAAAATTTGCTTACCATTTGGGTTTCAATTTTCGTTGCATTTTTCTCAATTCTCTTGTACTCCTCTCAGGATCAAAGTCATCTAGAAATTTACCAGGATTAGCAAATGACAGCATTCTCATTTCCTTTTCATTCTATTAGATTTATAAAGGATAAGTCAGTGACACCATAAAAGGTACTGTTTTAAAATTAAATGAAATGTGACAGAAAGTTATCACTACATAACTAAGATACCATACCATCATTACATTACTTAAAATGACAGATGCCTCATTTATTTGACAAGTCAGACCTTTGTCTCAGAAACAGGAATTTTTTGGCTAAGCTAAACAGTAAGAGTGTTCACAGCTCACCACCAAAATTTTCAAATCCATGTGTGTCATACATTTCTAATGACTATTTACATTTATTAATGTAAAATGGCGAACCTGTCAAATATTACAATATTTACCTTTGATAAAGAATCCTCATCTGGTAGAATAGCTGGTGATACATTAGAAGTTAATCTACTAGAACTTCTCCGACTCGTACCACTATTACTATTACTGTCATCAGAGTGAATAGAAATCTTATCAGCATTAAAATCACTCATGACCATTATAATTACAACCTTCAAAAATCATACAGAAAATATCTCAGTGATAGCTGGTAAGGAATTCAGGACAATTCAGACCAAAACAAACTCTGACCTATGCCTACTTAGACCACTTTTTTAAAAAAAAAAAAACAAAGTAGGACCACTTTTCAGTATGTATACTATGTAGATAGAGTCGACTATTGATAGAAACTGATGCCTGTGCTCAGACCCCCTTTTCTTTAAAGATGGGAATAAACTTTGACTACTTTCCATAACATAATAATTTGACTAAGACTCTGACCGATTTTAATGAGTTGTTTGAATCTCAAAAAGTGTAACGGTATTATACAATGTGGTGTACCGGTATTATACAATGGGGTCTGACTTTGTTTTGGTCCAAGTTTTCTTGCATTCCATATCTCCAAAACACAGTGAGCTAAACTGATTTATGACTTGCTGTTGCCACTGCAATTTTAGTACCGTAAAGAAGTTACTATGCTGTATGATGCTGATTTGTCTTTTTACTTTTTAATGCTAAATTTAATCAATCATCCAGATAGTAGAGGAGGAAAGAGCAAAGTTTCACATGTAAAATTGCAAATTTCTGTGCATCTTACAATACAATAATCTAAATCAGTCAAATGTGATAGCAAACTGTTTAAATTCCATTTAGACTTATTGTCGAATAAATGATTTTTATTCATTGTCTGAAACCACTGGTTAAATAATCTAGGATAGAATGAAATTGGACGAACTGCAAAAATACAAACAAAAGATATTCGCATCGTTCGAAAGATATTCGCATCGTTTGCATTAATACTCAAATTTCCACAGCACAACCTACCATAAAATATATTAATTCATGAAAAAAGTAAAGCCCTTCAGTCTGTATCAAGACTATAATATGTTTTTTTTTCTCTTTCCGAAGCGAGAAGATCTTATTCCAACCGATCTACCGTCAAGGTTCTGGGAAATAAACGAAGGTTGCCGAATGCTCTTATCCCTCATCATCCAGTCTGTCGTATAGAACGTACCGAATATTGTGATCTGCCACCAAAACCGTAACCTACATGTTAAATGTATTTTAATTAACTCTGTCACATTTGAAACTTAGAGATAAATAAAATTCCTCGTTAACCATCTACAGGATGTGTGCGTTGACAACCAGCATCTAGGTGATTTACCAATTAGAGACTTGATAATCATTTCTACTCGCTGAAACTGGAACAAAGTAAAGTAAACAACACAATATGCAATTGACATTAGGCAGGGACGAAGCCGTAACTCACAATATGGGCCTAATTATTTAATATTTCCAGTCTACTTACCTTCAAGATAAACTTACCTACACGTAAGTTGCCACTGGAATGTAAACTCTTAAATAGTTCAGAGTGTAGCAATGTAAATCCTTTTTTAAAATTCAATTTCTTGGGAAAAGTGAAGGTGTCATCAGAATTGAACACCATTCCCATTGAACAATCTGAAACAAAAAATTCAAAATCGGTTGCAAATTAAAAAGTTATAGCATTTTTAGTGTGCTCATCTGGAGAGCCATTTTTTATTCAATTTTCAAAACTAGCTCATTTTTGCTATAATGTTGACACCACTGAACATTTTTGGCTGAATTTTGTTTTGTACATAGTTGAATATTTTTAATAGTGGCAATATTGATATGGTAGGGATTGTATTTATTCAACTGCATCACTATGTTTTATAGGCAAAATACTGAAAATTACATTTTCGGTCAATTGAACCCCAGACAATAATTGGATGCTAATGAAATGGGTGGTCAGCAAATAGAAACACATCAAATTTAGTTTTAAAGTTTTATAAGTATATAACAAAAACCCTGAAATATTGAAAGAAGAATATTTCACAATGAATGATGATACAAAATATTTATATGCAAACAATATCAGGTACATTACAAACATAATTCTGGCATTAGATATACTATTGATAGAATAATATACTGAATAGAGAATTGACCTGTAGCAGAACTGGCAACATTAAAATGCAAATATGATAATTGCTTAACATAAAATGAAATATAATAGAAAAGCTTAGCCTAGAAAGGGGTTTTATATACAGGGGTTGATCATTGTCCCCCTGAAACAATTCTGACATCCAACCAATTCCATTACTTACATAATTAAATATTATATACCATGGCCCCTCAGATATAGTACATGCCCCTATAAAACAATCACGGCTATCATGGCTATGTTCCAGAAACTGAACTTTTGATCTCCTAAATCAGAATATGAGTTATGTGTGAGTTGACAGTGAGTTGCATGCTGAACTTACATTACGAGTTACATTTGAGTTGTGTGATGAGATATTTTTGAGTTAGGAGTTGCCTTTACCTGCATGCTACTTGTAGTATTTGCAAATATTGTCCTGTGGAATAATAGTCGTCATAACTTCCAAGTGCAACTAAAAGGTTTATAGAATTGAAGTATGTAACAAGCACACAGACACACAAAGAGTAAGTTAAGAAATTTAGAACAGATTTGATAGTTCTCTGCAATTCCTGTGATCAAATTATATGACATGGACCATGGGCAGGGAAGCTATGAATGCAACATGATGGCAATATGTAGGTAGCACATAATATGATGAAGGTTGATGATTAATCCAGCCAGGTTATGTTACCGTACATGTTGCAAGTAGCGTCACTTTTCTCCCTGTTGCATACATTCACAAAAAATTATTGAACTTGTTGAAATTTTCCGAAATTACCCTGCATGCTTTTGCGATAACCTGCATGCATGTTGCTTACAGTCAGAGTAGATCTTACTGAATTCTAAGACAGAAAATAATAGATGATAGATGAAAAACTTGGATTTTGAAATTTTCTTAGGATTAAACTTGCATTATGGATCCTCGTAAACAAATGTTAAAAGACCCAGCTGAAATGGCTAAATTTATTGACGATTATGCCAGAGACAACCCAGAAGCCTTTGCTGAGTTTTCTAAAGAAATGGAATATAATATGAAGAATTGTGAAAATCGTGAAGAAGAAATTTGTAAATTACCAAAAGAAGATACAGTATGGTTGATTGTAGAACAACCCACAGGTATGTCCATAGAAAAATGTACCGATCAATTAGATCACCATAGCTACAACTTGCTATGTATATAAACATTCATCATGGCTTGGCTTTGTATGAGTATGTATGTACAGAATTTGAAAGTGTACCTTCAAGCAGTATTATGAAATGATTGTGGTAAAAAATTGTGAAAATGAAAATATTTATGAAAATATTACATATTCATAAAACTTGGATTACCCCATGTATTAATATAAATGTAAGAATACTTATTGTTTTGTAAAATTATTTATGGTAAAATCTATACTGTAAACATTATATAACTTTTCAGAAAAGCTAGATGGTAAAGAACAAAGATGTTTAATATTATTAGATAAAGAAAAACAGTATTTGGCCTATCATATGGAGGAACTAACAGTCAAAACATTTATAAAGCAATGTTATTCTTTAGTATGTTTAGGATGTCTGTATCCATTGTCAGGAAAATCACGGAGACCAAGATTGGTCACATTTAAAGACCCTGAAGTAGCAAGGTATTTTATCATCTGATTCTAAGCATTATTTTTTGTGCTAAATTGAGTGTGAATATTACTTACAGATAAAACTTATATTCCTGTACAAATTGCATTCAGGAGGCAAAATAAAGTGCAACAGTAAACCAAAGTTAGATGATACAGGTTGAGAGCCAACACAAGGCCAACTTTCCTAAGCACTGGCTAAGATGTCAATCAAAAACTGTGGGTATTTGTTTTTATACGCCCACTTCATATTTGTTTTGAATACAGGTATCTAGGTATCCTTTCACATTTCTTGTAGGCTCAATAGAGACTTTCTATACAGTCTTGATGATACTTGGTATGCATGTATGTATTTAGATCTTGGTCAAGTTGGAAATTGGTTATAATCAGATTAACACTTTCAGAGTTATTGCCCTTGACTTAGTAGAGACACATAAAATTTTGCTTGTAAGCACGATAGAGGCTACAGTTTTTATCCGATCCTGATGAAACTTGGTATGCACGTATATTAATGAACAGTTTCAGAGATATTGCCCTTGACTAAGTCAATCATGTCAAATTTGGCTTGTATGTTGATGAGATCTTTGAATTTGATAATAATTTGATGAACTGTTTTTGAGGTTATTTTTAAGCCACTTTAGACTTAGTTATCATTCTATCCATCAGAAGTACAATGTAGAGTCAGCAGACAGAAGGGGCAATATCCCATACATTTCATTATTGAATGCATGAATTCTACTGTTCTATTATAGGTCAAATATTCTTGATATATCCAAGTTAAAAATCAGGTACATTAATCCGGATTCTGCAGATAGAGTTTTGCCTGATCCAGAATTGGAATATGTGAGAGAATGTTCTTCATGTAGAAGAAGGGGTTCTCCTAGTCTGTTTAAAGAATGGTAAGAAAAATTAAATTTAATTCATAGTTTTAATGAAACTCACTCATGATGGCATCAAGAGTGATAAAGAATTCTAGTGACACACTATCATTTGACTTATGTTCAACTTAGATACATTTACGGTCATTTCCTTCTTATCGTTTCTATCAATATTGGTTTTGGTCTTGCTGAAGTGTTTTATTTTCAGTGCTGCTTGTACAGGATCAGTGTACTGTTCTAAAGAATGTCAAACTCGTGATTGGAAGAGGACAGATGAGCTTAAAGAACATGGACATAAAAAATGGTGTAAATTGATCAAATCCTACATAGCCAAAACAGATGAACTTGCAACATTTCCTTTTACATTCACTAAAGGTATTGTTTATTGAAGTCACATAGCAGTAGATACCTTGTTTATTATACAGCCTAAAAGATGCTTTTGCCCTTGAATGTGTATGGGGGACACTTTTGACTTTGACTTTTGGGGGACACCATTCCAACATACCTGTCTTAAAAACAAATATGAAGTCAATGTGTCAAAAAAAACATCTCCTTTGATGGTATTTATGACGGTGATATTGTTAGATTTACTTATTATTGGCATTATTGGCCATATTATGAAGCTAGTTTCAGCTAAACTTAAAGAGCGCTCAGATTTAGGTACTTATGAAATAATAGGAAATTATTTAATGTCATGAACAGTATTTTTAACCGATGGTAAACGCTAGTTTATTTTATCTTGTAATAGAAACAACAGATAAAGAGTTTCATCAATATAGATATAAAAAGTTTCTAGAAGATAGAGGTGTTTATAATCAAGGTTTATGGAGAAGAGAATGTCCTCTTTCTTTGTCTGATACTGGACCTTGTATATTTGGTAAGTATATTTCCCCATCCCTGCATAGGTCGAGATATTACTTGCAGATTTTTCAACACGTTTTCCCATCCTCCATGATGCAGGTCTGAGGGGCAGACAGTTAGAAATGGAAAAGGAGTATGCTTATGCAACTGGCAAATTTTGCTCATTGCACACTGCATGACCTTTGTGTGCTTTCATTAGCCCAGTTAGGTGCAGAAAATAGAATGAAAGACTCAATTTCATTTCATTTCATTTTCATCAGGAGATCAATTTGAACTAGTTTTCCTGTTAATCCTTGAACAAATGTGGTATATCCCTGGGACTTTCATATAATACGTACATATATATCATAAGTGTATAAAAGTTGCATACAAGAACTTTGTTTTGATTAATAAGGATTTTTTTCAATTCGATTACTTATTTACCCAACATCATTGATTTTATTTATGTTTAAGGTTTTATAATGACTGACTTTTGTCACAAAAGCTATCAGAGTTTCAAACTGGTCTTCATTGTATTTTATAGGTCAGCTATCATCAGATGATAATCCTTATATACTACCATCAGAGACAGCCATTTTGTCGTGTAAACCTGATAAATCTATACCAAGTATTAAAGAACCATTGAGAGATTGGCAGACATACTATGATTGGCGTGGTTTTAAACTAGATTCACCTATAGCCATCTTGTTACATATACCTATTACTTTATATCATGTAGTGATATTCTACTTTGCTCAACAATGTAAGTATTGGAGAATAAAATTGGCAGATAATTCGCTTAGATATATATCTACTCAGAAAAGTCTTCTTTCATAATACATAATTAATACTGTATAAAATATACAACTATAACTATTACCGCTAGCTGGATTTAGACCATCTTGACCAAATGCTTACCCACCTTTCTTTTTATTGTTTTTGTTAATTTGTTAATTTGATAAAGATTACATGATCCTTTTTTCTAGATAATGATCAATGGAGGCAAATAGAGTCAGATGAGAAGATGATCATTCATATATTAGGAGTTGAAAAAGAGGTTGAAATGTTGATGGTATTTCAGGTGGGTATTATTTAATAACCTGTGATCTTGTAGTCATTCTATCTTCGATCTCACACAATATTACGGAGCCCCTTAGATACAATTTTCCGTACTTTTATAGAATATTTCATTTTAACGAATTAGTTATTTTGCTATTACGAAATAACTAATTCGTTTAAACGAAATACCCTCATGTATTTTGTTCAAACGAAATAATTAATTCGTTTATACGTAATAAGTTGTTCGATTAAATGAAATAATTATTTCGTTTACATGAAATAATTAATTCGTTTAAACGAAAAAATTTGATATTATTTCGTGTAAATACATTTTTAATTTCTTTTAAACGAAATAATTATTTCTATACTATCAAGTATTTTGTTTAGTCGAAATAAGTTTTTCGATTAAAGGAAATAAAAAATGTAATTCGTTTCGTTTAAACGAAATAATTAATTTAATTAAACAAAATAAGATATTCGATTAAATAAAATAATTAATTTGTTTAAAGAAAACTTTTTTTGTTTAAAGGAAATATATGATATTATTTAGTTTAAACAAATTAGTTATTTCGTTATAAAAGAATGGAAAATTGCGCCTTAGGGGCTCCGTACTATATAGTAAACTTTACACTACATTGTAAATCATAAACTAGGTTGTAGCAAACTTCAAACAATTTTGTTTTATAAACTTCAAGCTAGTTTGTAAACTTCAAACTATATTGCGATCTTCAAACTTTATTATGAACTGCAAAAAAACATTGGTAATTTCAAACTATTTTTTAAACTACAAACTATATTTAGTTTTTGTGTATATTGGAAAAGACTATGAATATGTTTTAATTGGTTTGTCATAGTTTAATTTATTTTCAAAAATATTTTTTATCTTTAGGAATTCGGTTATTTATTGCCCAATATTGAATTTGAAATACATATGTTTGGAGTGGAACTTCATGATACTGTTAATAATACTAATAAAAATTATGGTAATATAAGTATTACTATACATAAACAACTATATCATGATTATAATGGTGATAAACCACATTTAGCTATTGGTAAGTTATTATATTAAACCTACTTATTAACAACTATATCATGACTATAATGTTGATAAACCACATTTAGCTATTGGTAAGTTATTATATTAAACCTACTTATTAACAACTATATCATGACTATAATGTTGATAAACCACATTTAGCTGTTAGTAAGTTATTATATTAAACCTACTTATTAACAACTATATCATGGTTATTATGGTGATGAACCACATTTAGCTGTTGGTAAGTTATTATATAAAATCTAATCACTAACAACTATATCATGATTATAATGGTGATAAACCACATTTAGCTGTTGGTAAGTTATTATATTAAACCTACTTATTAACAACTATATCATGACTATAATGTTGATAAACCACATTTAGCTGTTAGTAAGTTATTATATTAAACCTACTTATTAACAACTATATCATGATTATAATGGAGATACACCACACCTAGCTATTGGTAAGTTATTATATTAAATCTACTTATTAACAACTATATCATGACTATAATGTTGATACACCACATTTAGCTGTTAGTAAGTTATTATATCACTAACAACTATATCATGACTATAATGTTGATAAACCACATTTAGCTGTTGGTAAGTTATTATATTAAACCTACATATTAACAACTATATCATGATTATAATGGTGATAAACCAAATCAAGCTGTTGGTAAGGTATATAATCTAATCACTGACAACTATATCATGATTATAATGGTGATAAACCACATTTAGCTGTTGGTTAGTAATTATATTGAAATTTAATTACTAATTACTACATCATGACTACAATTTAGAGAACCACATCTGGCTAAATTTTGTCGAAAACATTTTATTATTTGTCTCTTGTAAAGTCGTATATACCCTTAAACTTGTGTGTGCGTTTACTACTTTCAGGGTTTAATGCTGGAATTAGTGCTTATTTAAATTGGGGAGATACTATCATTAAATTGAAAGTAAGTTTAATAACATATCATATATTGAATACTTTATTTCCATTTGTTTAAGTTGAAGAGAATCTGTATTTTAATTCTCAAATTTAATATTTTATGACAAGACAAATATCCACATGGAAATTGATTAATTATTTATATCATATATTATACATTGTTAACAAAGCTTTATATATTCAGTCCGAAAATATATTTGGTGAAGCTGTTTAATGATTATGTTTCTATGAATGATGTATTTCAGAATGAAAATATACCCAGTTATTTTACTGATTATTGTCAGTATAGTTGTGAATGTTCTAGAAGAGCTTTATCAAGTGTATCAATAACTGCTGAACCAACCCTTATCAATCCATTCCGTAATCCTGTCAGGAAAATATGTACTGAGAACAATATGCCTTGGTATAGTAATGGCTTTATTTTCAAACTTAATTATACTGAGGAAGCTGAAAGGTAAAGAGTTGCCAGAATTGACATTCTAAGAAGGACTTTTTTCTAATAAGCAGAATTACAGTCCAAGTTTTATTTCAGTTTTCATAATCAGAGGGGGCAGCAAGTTTTTCGGGCAAAATCTCAAAACTAGGTTAGAAATAAATAGATAGAGATAAACTAAATAAAGTCTTTGAATGGCATTTAGCATAAAACTTTAACCAGTGATTGTTGTTCCGTAAAGCTGTTTCTATATATAAACTAAATAGTGTTAATCCATACAAATCCGCCAACTATTGTATCTTTATTCATGTGATGTTTGCCCATTGAATATATGCATGAAAGGGTTAATCATTATTGCCAACGAAACGAAATTTCCTTTCTAACAAGTGACACGTCTTACCGAAATAAGTGTATGAGATAAAATCGGATCTGATAAAAATATTTTAAAAAAACTGTAATAAGTTAGTTATTGAAAGTATTTGAAGTAGAGAGACTAAAATACTAATCTCATTATTCAGTATCAACAATATAATTAGTTTAACCTCTGATAAAACATGCTTCTATGACATATTTATGTTTTTGTAATCAAATTTCAAATTAATTGTTTCAAATTTTCTCTTTTTCTAACTTATTTGGTTTAATTGAAAAAAGTCTTCTCTGAACTACTTATTGACTAGACGCTAAACTTATTTCGTCACACGTTTGGTAAATAATATCAATTTGTTTTCGTGGTTAAAACTTGAATTGTCTGATCTCAACTTTTCCTCTGTCATTATAATGAGGTGGGTTTCGGAATTTTAAAAAGAAATTCGTACAAACCAAACATTTAAAGTTAATAAGCTTAGCGGAATGCCAGTAAGCCCACACTTAATGCAGGATTTTGGCATTCGCTGATGGTAAACAATTGCGATTCTACTAAACCAAGGCGAAGGCGTTTAATGACGTCACTTTGGTAGATATATTTAGATATTATTAGCAGTTATTGCGATAGTGACGTCAAAAAGGCTTTGTTTTAGTTGCAAAGAACCTCAAGAACCACAATGCCACTGTACTTTCCACACAATCGGGATCCCTTGACATATATCAGCGCAATTTGATTTCCAAATTTAACGTTACCTTATATTGCAAGACATTTTACCTGGGCGGGTTGCTGTATAATTGGGATGATGGATTAAATATTAGCATAATACATTTTGACTACATGGCTGGTCAGTCAAAAACCTAAAGAATCAACAGAGAGTAAAAGTAAACAAATATATTTATCCGAAGAAAAGTTTCAAATATAGACACAAACTGTCTAACGCTATAATAAACACTTTTTTCTCAAAATGACAAACATATCAAATAAATTAACAAAAGGAATGTATTGAATCAAAATAAGATGTAAATTAACTTCATCTCTTTATGTTAAGTGGATTTAACACTATCGTCGAAAATACAAATATTGTCAATTTATCAATTTCATGCCTATAGGCAAAACAATTGTTTACAAGTGACAATGCAGCTATAATCCATCCGGATTTTCAATCAACGATATTGTGAAATTCCATTCAAAATCAACTACAGAGAACAAGATATGAAGTTAGCCTTATGTCTATGCCTTTGCTTATCGAATGAGTTCAACAATAATATATTCTATTCCTGAAGACAAAAGCTGTTGTCAGATGAGTTTATCATATGTACAGAATTATGCGGAAATATATAGTAATAATATTATACTTTATTTTTATGTTAGTTCTTAAGTACAATTATTATCGTGTATTTTCCAAATTCGATACGGAATTAATGACGATGAAGTGCAATAACGTTATCCATTAAATGCAACTGTCACATGAATAAAGTACAAGAATCTCTTGAATCCACGTCAATGTGATTGGCTCAGGTTTAACATTAAAATGAAATGAACGATAAAGCATTGAGGAAATAATAGTATGTAACTCTAACAGGTTTATTTTTTTGTACCAAAGACTGAAACAAATGAAAACTAAGCTACTGAATTAAAATTGGCATTTCCTTTTATACACAAACAATAGATCACCAATAATATGCTGAGGGACAAATCCACGGTTGGTAGGTGCGTAGCTGACCCAATCCTGTAGGGTTCCTCATCCAATCTACCAATTGGTTAATGTTGACTATGTACACATCTTCTAAACCCACTAGATATTGTATAAACCTCTGTAACCCTGTTTTATTAGGGACATACAGATAATGAGAAAACCATAAATGTCGTAGATTTACTCCAAAGGGTGCCTTATTATTGAAGTAATGACGCTTAAAATTCTTTAAAAGAAACTGGAATGTCTCCTCTTCCGTAGTTGGATTGTGCATACAACCATCAGCATACGTACATCGATATGCTAATGTATAATCTTGCACAGTATAAAGGGGCACTTCCCATAGCCCAGGGTATTTATCTCTCGGACACCCAGTCGTCGTATAGCAAGCTTCTTTCCAACCGAAATCCAATGTATACGGGAATGGTATGGCACCATTTTTGTTATCGGATCTGATGATCAATGTGCTGTCGTATTTGATATTTCTAGATGAGATCAGTTGGAACTGACTATCACCAAGTGGTCGAGCACCAGGACTTCTCCAACCGTAAAGTGATACATTTTGTATCTGTTGCTTCAGCATTCGCACCTCGTCGTCCAAGTCACTTCTCATAGTTTGCCAGTCTCGATATACACCACTATTTCCACCTCTTAGTCCAATATCAAATCCCTGAGAAGCGAGATTTTGTAAGTAAGTCACGGAGTTGCCCTCTTTTGCAACAAATAGAGTAGCACTAATAGGACAGCCATCGGGATTCCTCTTAGATTTATCAAACATTTTTGAATAATCTGCGTAAACACGGCCATCAACTGGTCCATCAAAAGCAAAGTAAACTAACTGTGGGGTGTCATTGTATGACAGTCCTTGTGGATTCGAAGTGGTACGACAGAAGCAGTTTGGTAGATAACAATTTTTGCCTTGTATACATCTAATTGAACTGCTTTGATGCAAATTGTACCAAAGCCTCGAGTCACTACCTCTGTTAAAGATGGGTACAAATTTGCTTTCCGCGTCATTTGTGTTTCTAGGTGACTCTGTCATACGTTGAACACGGTCAGTGATAGGAGCAATGGTTGTTGACCTGACTAAGTTTCGTCGTGGGTAATTTCTTTTCAGCGAAGGACTGTCGGTTCTGTAGTGAGTCTTTGGTGGAACCGTGCTTGTTTGATAGGTTCTGTGAGGTCGAGATGTGGTTACTCGATATGTTCTCTTAGGTCTTGATGTCGTTGTTCGAGGGGATGTTTGCCTTCGAGGAGTTTGTGTTGTTGATGAAATTCTTCGCTGTCGAGGTGCAGTAGACCATTCTCGTTGAGCAGGGATCGTGGTCATGTACCGTCTTCGTAGAGAAGATGTTGTAAAGTAGATTGGTTTAGGGGAAAATGTGTTTTGTCCTATTGGATACTCACGGTCGTGATTTCTTGGTGCCATCTGCGATCCTGTTAGAGATGGACCATATGGAGATCTGTCTGTTTTTTCTGTATGCTTTTGCCAAACTCCAGATGTTGATCGTGGTGGTGAAAGTGTTGTTTTAACTGGGTAGATGGAGGAAGTGGTAGTGGTTGTTAGTGTAGGTCGCTGTGTCATTTGCTGAAGTGGTTGTTTTGTAGCTGGTGCAGCCTTTGCTGCTAAACTGTTAGGTGGTTTAATCAGTTCATTTGTTGGAAATTCGACTTTAAGAGGTGGTAATATTTGGTTATGTGTAAATGATGAACAGTCCCAAGAGGTCAACCTATGAAGTTCTGACAATGGAACGGGATTTCGAATCCAATCTAACATCTGTTTTACTGTAACGATATACACGTCGGGCAATGAAACTATATGTTTGATGAATTTATCCATTGCCTCCCTGTTATGATTTACCTCAAACCAAGCGGCATGCATGTGGAATCCGAATGGTTCTCGACCTTCTTTATAGTAGTCCATGAAATTCTTATACAGATAATCGAACGAATCACTGGTTGATTTTGGACCGTTGTAACATCCGTCAACATAGGGGCATGGATACTGACTTTTATAATCGATCAAAGAATTGATTGGAATTTCCCAAAAGCCTTTATGAACTGATGATCTGCCGGGACACGGTTTAACCATACATGGTAATGGATTACCATAATCCAGCGTGAAGGGCAAAGGTTTTTTATCCCCATAACTTCTCCTAGTGAAAGTTAAAGATATGTCATAGAGGTATCCTAGTTGTTTCAACACATCTGGTTGGGCATCTCCAGCAGTTTTCAGGTTAGGACTTCGCCATCCAAGGATATGTTCCAGTGGCACCTTTCCAAGTTTGTGCAGATTTTCACGTTGTTGTTTTCCCTCGTTAAGTAATTTAGCTCTTGTATCGATATTCTGGTGTGTTACACTGTGTACACCAATTTCCATTCCTTTCTTATACATTTCATGTACAATGTTGTAGTCTGTATAATTGTGTTGTATATATAAAGACATTCTTATGGGACAATTGTTCGGATTTTTCCTATCTGGAGAAAACAGAAAACGATAGTGGTTGGCCATGGTTTGAGTGAGTGCATCGTCGAAACCAAAATAGACGATTTGTGGATAGTTCTTTGAGTTTCCTCGGTGGGAAAAACTAGAACACAAACAATCAGGTAATTTACAATTTACATCTTGCTGACACGTCTGTAAACTAAACACTTGTGCCACTCCAACTAAACATAGAACAGGAATAAACAACTTCATTCTTGAAAATAGAGAGTGACTTAAAATAACTCACAGGTATCCACAAAAAAGTTAAATATTATCCGTAAAGATTTAATTATGCAGAATATGTCACTGACTGAAATTGAAACAAATATTATGGCAAATATATATCACAATAAAATTACTACACACTTGAGTTTTGTTTTGAAGATTTTCACAATTTCCTATATCCAAATATTCAGATGGTTAGTTGATGACAGTTGCTGTGAATGACAGTTAAAATAGAAAAGTTTGTTAGTAGTGACATCAACATTATATCTATATAGCAATCAGTGTGTTCTTGTATCTCGAGTACAACAGACAAATGCGTGACGTGCGATTTAACAAGTTAAAGTAAGTATATAAGGCTTTGACAGGTATATGGCGGCGACCAATCAAACCTTTTCCTTACTTTTGGCGTCCTTCCCATCAATTGACAGCTGCACGATTCTAACGTTTACAAACGAGGTGAGAGTTGGTTTTCTTACAATATTCTATTTGTAATATTGGGGTTGTTAAACTTGATACCTGATACCCCATTTCATTTGTAGAGTACTTTTAAATTATACAGTCCTACACACAAACAGGAGAAATTGCTCACCACGAGAAACGTTTGATCTGTAATAGTGTCATTAACAACTAATCATGTACAAGTCTATGACCACCACATGCTGCTAGTCCACAGTTTTAAACACCAAGAATCATATTACATTTTATTACTTTTACAGACGCAGGTCATAGCATTGTTAAAACTAAAAATACTCAAGATTTTAGTAACAACGAAAATCTTTTCCAACCAGCTTTTAAATTGATCCATGAAGATTTCTTTCAACTTTGTTAACCTATCAATTAAGAATCTATATGAAATCACAAAACATATTCAGATTGAATAACGATTCACTAACTATATGAAACCACAAAACATATTCAGATTGAATAACGATTCACGAACTATATGAAACCACAAAACACATTCAGATTGAATAACGATTCACTAACTATTTTAAACCACAAAACATATTCAGATTGAATTACGATTCACTAACTATATGAAACCACAAAACATATTCAGATTGAATAACAATTCACTAACTATTTTAAAGCACAAAACATATTCAGATTGAATAACGATTCACTAACTATATGAAACCATAAAACATATTCAGATTGAATAACGATTCACTAACTATATGAAACCATAAAACATATTCAGATTGAATAACGATTCACTAACTATATGAAACCAAAAAACATATTCAGATTGAATTACGATTCACTAACTATATGAAACCATAAAACATATTCAGATTGAATAACGATTCACTAACTATATGAAACCATAAAACATATTCAGATTGAATAACGATTCACTCACTATATGAAACCATAAAACATATTCAGATTGAATAACGATTCACTAACTATATGAAACCACAAAACATATTCAGATTGAATAACGATTCACTAACTATATGAAACCACAAAACATATTCAGATTGAATAACGATTCACTAACTATATGAAACCAAAAAACATATTCAGATAGAATAACGATTCTCTAACTATATGAAACCACAAAACATATTCAGATTGAATAACGATTCACTAACTATATGAAACCACAAAACATATTCAGATTGAATAACGATTCACTAACTATATGAAACCAAAAAACATATTCAGATTGAATTACGATTCACTAACTATATGAAACCATAAAACATATTCAGATTGAATAACGATTCACTAACTATATGAAACCATAAAACATATTCAGATTGAATAACGATTCACTAACTATATGAAACCAAAAAACATATTCAGATTGAATTACGATTCACTAACTATATGAAACCATAAAACATATTCAGATTGAATAACGATTCACTAACTATATGAAACCATAAAACATATTCAGATTGAATAACGATTCACTCACTATATGAAACCATAAAACATATTCTTATATGAAACCATAAAACATATTCAGATTGAATAACGATTCACTAACTATATGAAACCATAAAACATATTCAGATTGAATAACGATTCACTAACTATATGAAATCATAAAACATATTCAGATTGAATAACGATTCACTAACTATATGAAAACATATTCAGATTGAATTACGATTCACTAACTATATGAAACCATAAAACATATTCAGATTGAGTAACAAATAGCTAACCAATGAATAATGAATCAATTCAAGAACTATATATTTAATAAAATAGTGTTCCTTCTACAGAGCCGAATTTCTAATTCTGGCTACAGTTTCAAACTCTCTTCCCTTAAAATGTTGAACTTGACCAAACTCTTAAATTAGGGTATTTCTTTTCATGACAGTAAAAGTATCAAGTTCTGTTTCCTCCCTGTATGGAATGTTTACTTTTCAATTTAAATGATGACAGTGAACTAATTATCATGTTATTATTAATAATCAAACTCACTGACCATATCACCCTAAACTCAACCCTGCCTGTTTGTGTGTAGGACTGTATACCAGATTTAAACTGTGAGCTAGACTTGCCATAAAATGTATTTTTTAAATAAAAGCGCGTTCTGTAGTAATTACTATAAAAAGTATAATATTTTGCGTAGAAATTGTTTTAACTCAATTCTAACTATTTGAAACTCCTGTTCTTTCTTTTATATACAGATTTTGAAAAGTAGTTCATACACGAATTTGAAAAGTATTTAGATCAATTTCACTGTTTAAAAGGCCTCCACCATGACGTAATTATTCAGATCGCTCTAATTTATTGGAATGTTTAGATGATACTAAATTGGATGGATGGATACGTATTGATTTAAAAGGCATGTGTAGTGGATATCAAAATACACCAAAGCTGCGATAAAACTAGTCATATTCCATCCGTGTTACAACTTTTTATAACCATGCTAGTATGTCATTTCAATTTTTTCTGGGAAATAATGAGTATCCGCATCCATCTACTGTCAACATAACTGTCCAAATATATCAGCTAGCCACAGATGCTTTCCAATTGAGAATGAAAATTACCGTAGTTCGACATGAATTCTAGGATTGTGCTAACTATAAGAACTATAGAAACGCAAAAGCTTTTATTTATAGTGATAGTCGAACACAACTTGACAATTCATATTAAGATTGGTGATATCGCAACACGATTGGCTGGGGAAACACGCAATGCGACAGCAATGTCTTTGGCTCGAAATCGAATGTCAAGTTGGCGGCTAAATAGCCCAAGGAACGCTGATATTCATATCGGACATATCTTTTAAAACAATTTTCGAATCCACATAGTAATTATAAACGGAAATATAACATTTCTCATACGACCACAAAAGGGGCAAAAAGTATTAATTCCAACAACGATCTATCATACTTTTGGCACAAAACCAATACTTTAAGTTCGGCTATAGAAGAAGCTGTACATACCAACTAAATACGTCCGACTTTATCTTTACTTCATAAAGTACGATTTAGCCAAAGTTAAAAAAAAGTTTACGAGCGTCAGTTTAAGAATGGAGAGAAAATTTATTTGATTTATTTCAAAAAGGTTGTATCATAATATAACTCTTTGTCTTACTCCCCATTATATATAATATCCATTATACGAACAATTGTCAAAACAAAAATATATATTGTTCAATATATTTTTACAAAAGAGGAAATAACCTGGTGATAATAACGCTCCTTGTCTTACGCCGCCTTTAGATAGTCCCCCCTTCATGAGAACTTTAACGACACAATAACTGCATTATATGAATCACTGCCAACTGTTTCAACATTATAATGTAAACAAAATTTGACTATCAAAATATTCTTTTCGTTTTGGAGATTTTAGAAAATAAAACTAAAAGTTTTTATCCTTTTGAGAAAAATTGTCCTTGAGTGTATAGTGTAACTTGATACATTCTGTCATATAATTTACAGACAAACGCTACCGATCGTAGAAAAATGTCAAATTTCGTAAGAGGATTTTCACCATTGAATCGAAACACTTTGTCAAATTTCGGTCTAATTATCCGACTTGACGCCATTTGTAAACAAAACTCGACTTTCTCCAGATTCATTGTTTGATTAATCAGATTACACTAGAAGAAAAATACACAAAATCGAAACGAAAAAACTGTTATCTTATGATATTGCATTGACATTGAAGGGATTATATACGATAAAAAAAATACTCAAATTAAATATTTTCAACGATGCTTTATTCTTTATTCGTGCAACCAAATAATTCATATAGTCATTATTCAATCAAACTAGTCTCAAATGTATATACCTGAAATCTCACTTCAAGTCTAACGACTCGCAAATTTGCTACACATGCACCTGGCTGTCGATAATTTTTGTAATAATTCTTCAAACCAATTTCTTTGGCCCGAATAGTTCCGGTTTGGGCTTTATGGATATTGCTTGAACAGAGTAAGATATGTGACTCCCATTACATAAAATAATTTGGGGCATCAATTCTCAACCATTCCATAAAACATTGGACCAACGCTTATGGTTGTGCTAAATATATTTTTCGTTCTTAGCTATAACTAATATATAAATAACAGATATGGGTGCACATTTTCATGCGCCTACGCGTATGTATGCATGCAAATGTGGATATAACTATAATATATTTTATGTTTCCGTGTTCAGTCGACCCCGATGAAGGAAATCTAATATGACATGACATGGTAACAAAATGACAATCCTTTTCGGGAACATTGATTTATCTTCTAGAGTTCATCTGTGAATCAAACACGCTTTTTAGACTACACCTTTGTATGCACTTACTAATATTAGAAAGCTATCTATCATTTGTCATAAAAACACATCTATAATACAAACACGTATGGTGGGCACGGTAAATTGTCAAAAGATTAAAAGGAGAAACACGACATTGGGGATATACTAGGTACATGGGAACGATCCATATCATGAATTCTAAATTAAAGTTGGGTCGCCTATAATCCATGGGATCAGCTAATTATGAATCCTTCCAAACCTTCCATATAAAAGTGATGCTAAATTGCTGCAATATTTCTGAAGGAGGATACTGTGACTCTCCTAAGTCGTTGCTGTGATTGGCAGAATCTGTGAACAACTGAGTTAACAACGATTCCTGAATCATTGACGCCTTGTGGGAGGGTCTCAGCAATCGTAAGAAAACTGAATATGATCGACGACATGAGACGTTGGAATCTACAATATTTCAATTGGAATGCTTTGAATCGTTTTTCGACTCAGCAAAATAAGACACACAGCATGCAAATTTGAAAAAAAAGATGATATAGCATCTTTAATCCAACTTAAAAAATAAACAATG